TCCTTGCTAGGACCTCCAAAGCACCACCTGATGTGCCCACCCCATCACCACCCATGCCCACAGCTCACCTCTTACCCCTCTCTGCCTGGCTCTCTGCCTCTCTCTCAGCCCAGACCACCACTCGGCAGTCCCGAAGATGAAGAGCAAAAGCTGCGCCCAGCTGGTGGTGTTCCTTCATCCATACCTACTCTTCGGAAACGCGTGACCAAATCGCTCCTCTTCATGACCTCAAAATCTACTCTTAGATATTAACTTGCTTTGCTTGTCCCTCCGCCCCTCTTCTAGATGGCAGCCAATGGTCTCCATACCATACTGGAGCCAGAACTGCTCTCATTTGCAGACGAAATTATTGCTGGAGACCTCCCCTATGCTAAGCTGGCTCTCTACAGAGATTGCACGATTTCACAGAAAATTAGTACCTACACCTGCAAAGCCGTGGCTTTCCCACCCCCATTTATCATCTTTCAAGACTCCTTAAAGAAGGAAATTATCAATTTATCATTCTGTAGAGGAAATGGAATGCCTCTAATATTTGTCATCTATAAGAGAGTTTAAAGATGACGTGCTAGCTTTCTGGAAATGTTGGCCATTGCTTTAAATGAAATTGAAATTCTAATTTATTATTTCCCCAAAATACAATCTTAGTGATAATAGGAGAATGTATCTGAGCTATTTTTTCACCCTTGAGGACACATTTTTACTGAAACCCCTGGTCCCCTGGACTCCCACGGATCCTGGCAGGGTGTTCCCAGCCCTGAAGGCATAGTCGCCTTCAGGGTCAGCCAGGGATGAAGAAGCAGCTTTCTTTTTGGCTGTGACCTTTGTTCCCTATATTGTAAGGGCTGGAGGAGAGAGGCATCCAATTCTGCAGCCCCAGACAGCCGCCAGAGGACGGTCATGAGTGTGCAGTGGCTAGCACATTACAAATGTTTGTTAATTGACTGGTAATTCATTGTGTGACAGCCGTATAACTCAGCTATCCTTTTCAGTTAGGGATTAACTCAGTAATCAGTCATTAAAGGGGGAAAAATATTACAGTACCAGCCAGATGGCAGGGCAATCAAACACATAAAGGAAAATGGCTGGTCTTTCAGTAAGATGCAAGGCAGCAAAACCTGGGTCCTGCATCTGGTTTTGTTCCAAATTCTAGCTGGAGCAAGTCTTGGCAGGCTCTCCTACAACCAATGTACTCTAACCTTTCTTATGAGCAGGAGCAGTGTTGGTCAGACAAACAGGTGAGGCATCTGTCCCGGTGGCCCCCGCTGAGTTTGGACTCCTGGTATGCCTGGATCCCTGGGAAAAGGAAGAAGGAAGCATGCAGGCCTGATCCTAACATTTGTGAGGCCTTGAGCAAGGGTGTTAATGACAGCCCACCTACCCCATGTCCAAACATTTAAAAGTTAAAAGCTAATAAACTGTTCAGTGAGATATGTTTTATCCTTCTGCCTTGACAAACATCTCTCCATAAGGACCTGGAAGGCCAGATTCACATTTAGAATTCTGGACCCAAATGTGGTGGTGGAGGCCAGGTGGCCCCTGTCTTTCCACCTCCCTCCCCTCGCTTGGTTCCACCCGCACTGTAATGGTATGCACGTGTGGACATTCCCCTGAGTACCCAAGCTCTGACCACGCCCTCGAAATAGCTGTTCCTTGGCCATCCTCAGGCCTCAGGGCTCTGCAGCACCAGCCGAAAAGTCTGCCCTTGGGAGGACTGACCCAGGGAAGAGTAGATGTCCATGCAGTCCTGGAAATGTGCTCAGAGCTGTTTGGGGAGAGAATTCCCAGGTCCCGGGAGTCTGGTTTAGAGTGTGGGTCAGGAATGGGCTCATCCCATTGACTTCAAGGATTCCTCTCCTTGTGGGAAGGGGTCTTTCTAGGAGAGAGAGAGCAGCACCCTCCAAATGTGGGAGCCATAGCAGGAGCCCCCTTGCTGGGGACTAAAGGACATTTTAGAAAAGTGCCAAGCCCTACTTGTACCATCACCCCCATCCCTTACACACCTCTCTCCATGTGCCTAGTAGCCAGGCCACAAAGAGAAGATGCACTTCGTATGTATCTTTTGGTCTGAAAGTCGTAGTTATCCTTGGTCCCACATGTCTTTTAGAGCCGTGAACAGAGGGAGGCAAAGATAGCCTAATGTCACAGTGAGTCGTTTCCCTGGGTGTCTCTTCATAGTCATGAGGGTGGCAGAAACTCAAGCTAGGTCGCTATGCTCCGTCTCTGAAATGACAAGGGTGACCTCATGGTCAACTCCAGAATCCAGAGCAGAATCCCAGACCATCCTCTCAACTACTGGACCGTGCACTCTGTTTTGGGAGCTTGCATGCTTGGATGATTAGCTGTGGAGAAAGGCTGTGAGTCTGAAGATAGTCCAAGCAACCTTTACTTTAAGAATTTGAAATACAGTCTCACTATGATGCTGTCTCCTTCACAAAGTAGTACCTTTAAAATATTTAACAACATGAAAAGGAACCCGAGCTTGAATTTTTCTTTCAAGCAGGAAGGCAATACAGTGTTTCGCTTCTGTCTGAAATTCACCATCTCCTAGACAAAGAAGGCTCTTCTGGTAAAAGCAATGGCATTTGCTCCACAATTTTCAAATAAAAGATAAAGAGAAAACAGCATTGCAGCCTTTTTGTTGGATCTAACAAGAAAGGAATAGTACGGTTTTGCCAGGGGAGAGCCCTGGTTTGAAGTTCAGAACACAAAAATAGGCTGACTAAATTTTACAAAGGAATATTCTCAACTACTGCTCTAAGGCTGGCGAGAAGTGAAGTTTCAAGAAAACGAGATCATTTGATTATTTGGGGGGTTATATTAGGAGGATGATCAAGCTGATGGGTCAGTCCTATGCAAAATTCTAAAATAGAAGACGTGTGATTTCTCCTTCCCTGCCCACCCCACCCCTCACCCCTAACCCTCACACAATCCATTCTCTCCCTCTATCCCAGCCCAAACCTGGCCTTTGGGAAAAGAATGGGGCCACCATTTGCATTACGGCTCTTCATGTCCAGACCACTCTCCCCACACAGTCCAGGCTCCCTTTGCTCGGCTGATTTTTCCTACAGCTACTTCCAAAGAACCTTCCATGATGCTGCCCACCCTCTCAGTAACAGCCACCTGTACCCCCCTAGCTGTTACACTCACTGCAACTGGTTTATAATTGTTTTACCCTGTCCGATTAGACTCTCTGTTAGAGGAGAAACCACATGCATTTCCTTTAACGTTTATATCTCCACCACTGTCCCGGTGCTCGGCACATGACAAGTCAAATTGAATAAATGAATGACTGAATTAATGAATGGGAACTTAAGCCACTATGTTGCTGTTCCCAGGGTGTTGAATTAACTGTAATTGAAGAGCAAAAAGCACTTACCCCTCCTAAAGGAGTTGTAAACCTAATGGGAGAGTATTTGGAGGAATAAGGCACTGTGATGCATTCTTTTGGATGGCCTATCTGATATAGTCAGGTTTTTTTGGTGTGCAGAGGGGCGGGGTAAGGGATTCTGGCAAGGACTTCCAAGATGAAAGGAATACATTAAATTCATATTCATAGGAAGAGCTACCAATTAGTAAGCATTTATATGTGTCAATTCTCAATGACAAATGTTAATCAGGCATCATCTTTATTATCCACATTTTATAGATGAGAAAATTGAGACTTGGGGATTAAAATTGCCTACTCTCACAGAGTAAGTGGAAGAATCAGGGTCTGAATCCAAATCGGTTTGACCTATGTCAGAAGACCACCTCAGCAAGTCTCCTATTAACCGGAACCCCAATGGCTTGGGATGCAACACTAGAGGAAGAAGTCCCTGGCATCCTGGCTATCCACTGTGCTCCCGATCTTCCTGCCTGCTTCTGCCCGCTGTGCCATCCACCCATCTGGGGGTCTCCCATTCTCCATCCTCAGTGGGAGAGGGCCTATCAGAATTTCTAGGCACCACTCAGTATGGAGTGCCCCTGTCCTGCAGAGAGCTCACCCCAGACCTCAGCTGCACCAGTTAAGTAAGATTAGATTAGGCTACCAATGAGTGGTAAATGAGGGGAAAATAATAATAGTGGACTAAACAAAATAGAGATTTATTTTTCTTTCCCATAAAAACCTAGAGTTTAAAATCCAGGGTTGGTCTGGTAGCTCCAGGTATCTGGGATCCAGACTCCTCCTTTCTTGTTTTTCCACAGTACATGGCTTGCATTTCTGAGGCCACCTGCTCCAAAATGTCTGCTGGAGCTCCAGCCATTGCATCCATATTTCAACTACAGGAAGGAGGAAGGCGGAAAAGAAAGGGCAGGCCTCTGATACATGCAGACTTCAAGGAAACGTTCCTGCCCCTACGTAGATCCCACCCCTCCTCAACCAAACAAGGTAGCCTTTATTCAAGGCAGCCACATACCCAAGTAAAAATCCTGCGTTCTGTTAGAAACACAGAGCACAAATAACTGTTTGCCTCAACACCTTATCTATGGCTCCTTTTGCCCAGGGTCTCCTGTGGGCAGCTGTGGCCAAGTGGGAGCTGGAGGAGAGGGGAAGGCAAGTAGCCCTTCTGAAGGAAGCCCTAGGCCCTTTCACGAGGGGCCTGTATGACTGACATTTTTCCTACATGGCCTGTGAAGTATAGAGAAATGTGTTCTCTTAAAGCCACATCATAGTCGTGGCTGCTTTGTAGCCTCATTCCACCATTGTGCTCTTAAGGTGCCCAGCCATCCAGCCTTCTCAACAGGCAGAGAGGAACATCTCCCAATCTTGGTGAGATCCGCCAGATTCTACCCTCCCTACCCCCACCAAGTCGTCTTCACTCAGAGACATAGCCCAGGCCCTTCCACCCATCAGCTGGAGAATCAGGCTCATGATTACCAATTTGAAATTGTATATTTTTTGCCGAAGAATGCAAATGAGGATGATGGTAAAGGCTTTCTTTGGTTTGCTGACCCTCTTCCCCGCCCCTTACAATCAGGAAATATTTGTGCCAACACGTTGTTTGTTCCTTCTGTTGCAGGCTCCTGTGGCTGTCTTGTCATGATACTGTTTGCCTCTGAAGTGAAAATCCACCACCTCTCAGAAAAAATTGCCAATTATAAAGAAGGGACTTATGCCTACAAAACGCAAAGTGAAAAATACACCACTTCGTTCTGGGTTGTTTTCATTTGCTTTTTTGTTCACTTTTTGAATGGGCTCCTAATACGACTTACTGGATTTCAGTTTCCTTTTGCAAAATCTAAAGACACAGAGACAACTAATGTAGCTGCAGATCTAATGTACTGAAAACAAATACTTCTGTAATTTTCCAAGTAAGGGAGCAGACTTGCTTTGGTCACTTGGAAATGGTTAATTTTGTCTATCCTTTTAGATGAACAAATTAAAGCACCCAAACCCTCCGTGGCAATGTTTATAAATGATGTACTAAGGGTACAGGCTGGAAAGGAAGGAGAGCAGAAGGAAGGTTTTGGAAGGTTGTTTTACGTGGTGGGAACTGGGTTCTTTTTTTTTTTTTTAAGATTTTATTTATTTATTTATTTATTTATTTATTTGCGAGAGAAAGAGAGAGTGTGTGTAAGCACCTGCACTCGAGTGCGGGGGGGTGGGGGGCAGAGGGAGAAAGAATCCCAAACAGAGTGAAGAACCCTAGGAGGTAGGGAGGGGTTCAATCTCAGGACCCTGAGATCAGGACCTGAGCTGGTAGTGCTCAACCGACTGAGCCACCCAGGAGCTCCTGGGAACTGGGTTTTTAAGGCAGTTGACTAGAATGGACAAATTGTTCCACTATCTGCATTTCAAGTGTAAAATGCCTGCTCCATCGGGGAGGAATCAAAAGGCATGAGGAATATATTTTTATACAAACAAATACTATTTCTGATATATCTACACATTGGTTGCCAGAGATACCAAGAAACAGAGCTGGAATCACTTTCCTAAAATGATAGTGCATTAAATGAGCATTGATAAAAAGTACCAACATACTTTTCTTAAGTTTGTTTAAAGCACAGTCTTTTTTTTTTTTAAAGATTTTATTTATTTATTTGACAGAGAGAGACACAGCGAGAGAAGGAACACAAGCAGGGGGAGTGGGAGAGGGAGAAGCAGGCTTCCCACTGAGCAGGGAGCCTGATGCGGGGCTCGATCTCAGGACCCTGGGATCATGACCCGAGCCGAAAGCAGACGCTTAACGACTGAGCCACCCAGGCGCCCTAAAGCATAGTCTTATTATCCATTCCTGTTGGTCAAAATTTGCAAACCTCTAAAAGGAATAAAAGGAAACGCAGTACTTTCAACAGACATAATTGCCGGGACCACTGAGGAATCATGAAAAATGATTCTTCCTAGTAAACTTAATGCAAAATGACTCACTGGGGCTGTTGGTTCTAACTTTAGTGTCTTTAAGCACTAATTCCCAATTACGAAAATTACATTACATTCTGGGGTTATGATGGTATCATTGCATCTTGGTTTTTGGTCTGGCTGTCACAAAGCATAACCCAAGTCCATTTTCTTTGTCCTGAATTATCCATGAAATTTATCTGCAGCTGACCAAAGACCGCAACTGAGCCTGGAACGGACTCTTCTTCTATCCCCCACCTGCTACCCTCAAGAAAGCGCTCAGGAAGAAGCAAGGAGTGACAGAACACACCACCGGGCCTCTCACCACAGCCGCTGGGTACTTAGGCCCCATATGAGAGGTCCTGAAAGTGCTCATTAAAAAAAAACAAACAAACAAACTTCTTCCCTTTTGGAGAAATTTATAAGAAACAAATGACTCTTTGTGTCCCTGGTAAGTAACTTGCTCTGATGGTGATCTGTGGTCCACAGGCTGACATCAGAACACACCAGTAGTTTCCAGATGCCTGTCCCTACACCTTCATTCAGGAAATATACCTGGAGAATTTTTTTTAATATTTATTTATTTATTTTTAGTGGGGGAGGGGCAAAAGAAGAGGGAGAGACCGAATCTCAAGCAGACTTCGTACTCAGTGCAGAGCCCGATGCACGGCTCAGTCTCACAATCCTGAGATCACGACCCGAGCCGAAACCAAGAGTCAGATGCATAACCGACTGAGCCACGCCCATACCTGGAGAATTTCTAGAAGGCCACAAGTCAGTCTAGCGATGAAAGGGTTGTTTATTTTAGCACAGGCCAGGGGAGCCTGGCGCTGGAAGTCTTCATGCAACAGTTAAACACAGAAGCACTGGTAGCTGGGAGCGGGCAGGGAGGCATAAGGACCTTCCCTGCATGGGTAATTGGCCTGAGATCCCGGAAGGCCAGGTCCCCGCATTCTCATCTGACCTCCCTCTCTTCTCAGAGGTTTGAAAACCTTCTAACACCAAGCTTTCTTCTTTAAGAAACAAGTCCCCAGTTCTCTATTCTGTAAAAGAGAAAACTCAGAGCAGCAGCTGAGACTCTTAATGAGAACGTAATAGGCCAACTAACAATAGTCCCTGGACAGAAAGTAGAGGCCGGGCTGCTGGTCCCTGCAAATTGTGCAACACACGCACGCGTGCGCGTGCACACACACACACACACAGGATACAATCCTGGCCCTCGGAAGGGCGCACTCACGCTGTCTCCCTCTCCTGGCTCAGAAGGAATGTGTGGTCGCGGTGGCCTGCGTAACCTTTAGAAGAGGGACCTGGACAGGACTTCTTTTGTGGCTCTGTGAGGATCAAAGGCGCCAGGGAATGACACTCATTATGCGGTGTGGGACCTCCCTCCCCAGGTGGCAGCCAGCAGTCTCCCATTTTCCCGGGGATGCGGGGCCCCCTGCTGGCTCTGGGGCAGCAAACGCATCTCGATGGCCGGCGGGGGCTCCTTTCCACGTGCGGGCAGTCGCCCTCAGCTCAGACAGTACCAGCGCTCATCACGAAAGGATGTAAGGGGCTAGGAAAGCCATGCCAAGTCCTTCGGGGTACGCCCTGCACTGAATGTGCGAGACAGTTCACTGCGGTGGGAGGAAGCTTCCAGACTAAGTGCAGAAGGGAGGGCTGCAAGGTGGAGGAGGGCGCCTCACCTCTGTCACTTTGTGGGCCGCCAGAGGTCTTTCGCTCTCTTGGTCCCATCTGCTCCTGCAGGGCACCTGCTCACAATCACTTTGCAAGCATCCAAGGCTGATCAGTCTGGCTGGGGGCTTACACATGACACAGTCTTAGGGCCGCTGCTCTCCCCTCCCTCTGCCCAGTTTCTGGGACAGGCTGGGTGGGCAGGAGCTGCCTCCTCCCAACCCTGGTGGGGGGAGACTGGATTTGCCCTGGCAGCAGTGCAGTGAGCCAGCTTTGAGGCAAGCATGACTTGCCATTAAGGGGGACATTGGTCCGGACCATTTACTGATGGAAACCTGAACAAGAGGCAAGGGAGACACTCTGGGGGCTGGAGAGCAGGGAGCTTTAACCTCTCTCTCAGTTGTCCTCAACCGCTCCCCTTCCAGTAAGATCCTGTACAGGTAAAAGTGTGGTTGTTATAGAAATGCTTCTCCAAGACCAGTCCCAAGCCATCTGCCCTGTTTTTCTAACTGTCTTGCTGTCCCTGATCCCTTCTGTTTAGATGTTTAGAGCCTCCACCGTCCAGGTGCGCAGTGTGTGATCTGGTGGCACCCCAGTTCTGAACCCCTTTCAACGTGGCAGTCATCCCTGGCTCAGGGCTGATGGCTGGTTCGGCAGATAAGCCGCCTCCTCCAAGTGACAAGGGACAAAGTGATGCAGGTCAGTTTAGAGAAACAGGCACCTGCTCCTTAAAACTAGAGAGAGAAACACTGGGCAGGCACGGGGCCCTGGCTTCTGGGACGAAATTCCCCCTCAGGAAACACCCTGAGATCAAATGCTCCTAAAAATGCTACTGTAAATTTAATAAATTTATATTCTGATTTATAGACATTGTGACACCACCCCCATCCCCGAGATAACCAGATACACCTGCAGTGTCACACCCAGAGCTGGGACTCACTGGCCCTATTGGGAAAGTGTGAATGAGTCTGAGGGCTGCGTGGGGGATGACCCAGGTCAGAAATCTCCAGAGTGTTTCCTGCAGAGCCTAAAGGACAGTATCAAACAATGGTTGTAGAGACCCTGTGGGAATAGCTATGTTGTTGTGAAAACCAGCCAACAATTGAAAGGCAAGTGTCTTAAAGGATTATGTTTCTTTGCTAGAATCTTGATGTGAGGGGTTTCAATCTGCTCTCAGACTGAACAGAATGGTAGATGTGTCCTCCCCAGTGGACCATGAGTCTAATTCTGGAGGAGACCTGGGGGCTCCCACTAGCCTCTGTGCCCTCTGTCCTCCAGTCGGCTTTGTAAGCAGGTGCTCGAAGAGCTGGCCTGGGCCCCTCAAGTGGTTTGAGCGCATGCCCTACAGAAACACGCAGTATCGGTGTGCACAGGCTGCTCCCCTCCCCCTCCCCGCACCTGCCTTCTCCTCGGGTTTGGATTTGCCGTGGACCGTACCTATGCAAAAAAGCATATTGTATCTAATTCACAGGCATGGATTCCAGGATGCCACAGCTCACCGATTTGCACTTAAACTGCCATCCTTCCATTTAGCCAAATATAACGAAGGATGGTGTGTGTTGCCCATCCCAGGCCAGAAACCCCAAGAGAAGCTGGTGCGTACCCTTCTTTCCTGCTATAGAGGGGTTCTCTTTGCCCCACTTCTCTGCTGTCACCCTTTCCCCCTGACTCTCTGTAGCAGACAAATGCTATGTGTTCTCCACCACATTCTTCTTAGGCACACAGCCGAACCACATTTCCCAGATTCCTTTGCGGTTGGGGTCATGTAAGAGTGTCTGGACAGATGGGACACAGGCTGAAGTGACTCATGCCACTTGTCATCCTGGCACTGAAGAACATCCTCTACAACCTCCAGCTCTGTCCTTGCCTGGTACTGCAGCTTCGGGGCTCATGGGATCCAGACGGCGAGCCTACAAAGCAGAGGCAGGTTTCATGACCTGCACTGGAGTGTGACAGGAGTGCTAACTACACTTTCTGTAAAGCCACTGAGTTTGGGTGGTTTTTTTGTTGCTGCAGCTTAGCTTAACTTAGCCTGGCCAACAGGGCCCTCTTTCCTAGCAAAGCTCTTCTCATTTATGCCAATGAAACACTTGTCTAGGCCTCTTGAGTGGTAGCCTAAGGCCAGGTGCACCCTACACCACCACCAATGAGCTCTTGTGTGTGTCACTGTCCTTCAGGAAGCTGTGGCCAGTGGCCACATTACCCAACACCCACTGAAATAAAGACCCACTGAAATGAGTGACTCTTCTGCATAAATATCTAAAGAGGAAATG